TTTAAGTTCTTTTCAAAAAATTTATAAAGAATTTCATCTTTTTCATCAATTACTTGATTAAGTACAAACATTTTAAATAGTTACTGTAATTATTTTTACATAAACAACAAGAATATTTATATAAATTTCAGCGAACTAAAATAATCTATTAGTTCAGATGTTTTCTGTATTGATCAGCTGATCTATTAAAAATCCTCATGAGGATATTTACGATCGATCCTCAAGAGGAAACATTAAGTGTAACAAACAACATATAATAATTTTATAAAATTTGATATTTTTATTATAAAATTCTTTATAAAAAGACAATACTCTAATTTACCCAAAACTTTATCGACATGAATAAATTACCTTTTGAAATTTTATTTTTCATATTTAGTTATCTATTTCCTCAAGAGAGAATTAATATAAAAACTGTATCGAAAACATTTTATAATGTATATCTGAAACAACTTTTGTCTAGTAATAAACTTGATCTAAATAAATATATTTTTTATCGAACTACAAATTCTAATAATATTATTTATGATATTATCAGAACTGATAATAAATATATCTATCTAAAAACAAAAAGATCGAAAAAAGAAACTAAAGTTAAAAAATTATTCAATAAACATAGTGTAGTTTATTGTAAATTTAACAAAGATTATTTATATATATATGAAAAGGAACATAAAGAAAAAATAGGAAGAAATATATACACATATTATCATTGGAAAAATAAAAATGATATTAGAAAAAAATATCAAAGACAACATCCTTCTTATTATATCATAATAGATAAAGAAATTGAAAAATCTATTTTCATTCTTGAAAATATAATCAAAGAAAAATATTTAACAATAGATATAAATTCAGATTGGCATAATTGTAATTGGCATGCTAAAGATAAAACAACTTCAATTGTCATCGTAGAAGAATTTGTAAGAAAAGATTGGGCTTGGAATTTTTATACGATATACAATGGCTGGTATTATAGAAAAATAATATTTCTTTTTACAAGACATGATATCGATAATTGGTATAATATCTTTAAAACAAAAGAAGGTTATGATGAAAAAACGTTTAATGATAAACTTTGGAGATTAGATGAATCTTATGTTTATAAACTTAACAATAATAATAGACAAAAAATAATCAAAAATATTTATCATAATTACAAAAATAATATAGTTTTGCAAAATTGTAAAAATGAGAATAGATATTATTATTGTATCAGATAAAATTTTTTTTATTTAAATATAAATTATAAAATATTTAATTTAAAAATTCCATAATCAAATAATCTTCGTATATATTTCTAGTACTATTAATAAATTTAACCTCTTTTTCTGAATTTGTTTTTATAATTTTAAAAATTTTATTATCAATTAAAAATTTATATATCCAATTTCACTAATATTAAAATATTTATCTCCATATAAATTTATCTTTTTAATATTTTCTTTGTATTTATCTTCTTGTTTTTCATAAATACATATTATAATATCTGAAATATTTATTTTTTTAGCCAGTTCATATAATCCTAAATATATTTGTTTATCAAGAGTAATACATTTCCAAAATGCATAATTAATATTTCCAAAATATTTAATTAGTTTGATATTATATAATAATTTATCTTTATAAAAAATATTATATTCTTTAGTTTTATCAATAGTATAATTTGGAAATAGATATGGAATATCTATATTATCTATAGATTTACATATAATAGGTAAGTTTTGATCATTTTGTTTAACTTGAACTTGAATATATTTATCTGTAAAATTTGAAATATATAATATTGAATTCATTTTTTTTTTAAAATTTTTTAATCAAGAAATAACTCTTTATATATTTTTTATTAAATAACAAAAATCAAAAATATTTATAAAAATAATTTTTACATCACTGTATCAGATAAAATTTTTTTTATTTAAATATAAATAAACATCAAATAAAATTATTTTCTACGTTTATTGCTACTCTCACTTTCATTAGATTCATCATAAGTTCTTTTGCTTAAACTTGCTATAATCTCTTCAGTATTTTCTATATAATCTATTTGAATATCAATGTTCTGATTTTCTAAAAGAACTTCTTGTTTGTAATCAGATAATTCTTTACATCTTGAATAATCTCTTAAGTATCTTTTCTTAAACTCTAGAAAATGACGTCTCCAATAAACTTGATTATTCTTAATTATAATCTCTCCATCTTCATCTTTGTTCAGATCTTTGACAACCTCTGTTAATTCCTCTTTTGTATATTCTCCTTTATCATATTTTAAATCCCAGATCATATTTCTAAACTCCTCTTCTGAGCCTCTATGAAATATCAATTCTGTTGTACGTAAATCAATATCTTCATTCCATTTTCCTTTAAATTCAATGATAAAATCAAGTCTCCTATCAAACTGTTCCCAATCCCTATGAACCTCATCTTCACTTCTGTTACGTTGACCAAAATTAAATGATTCTTCTGGAGATCTTCGTGAGGTCATAAATATATATTTTGCAAGAAAAGGTTTAAATCCTTTACGTTTAACCTCAACTTTTGCAGGAGTATTATTCAAATAAGTCACAATATCATCCCATCTAACTGCTGTATACCATTTATCTAAAAAAACAATCGATTGATTCTCATATCCATTCCACTATATGCTTCCACTCTTCTGCATTTTTTTCTTCAAGTAAAATTCTGAATGGAATAATTTTTGTATGAGATTTGATTTTCCTGCTCCACCTTCACCAAAAAAATAAAATGTCACTGGTCTTCAAAACCTTTCAACTTTCTTTTTTTTTTCTGTTATTAAATCTTGATAAATCTTTTTCATACTTTCATAACTATTAGAATATTGAACTTTATCTTTGTTTAATTTAAAAACTTCTAAAGGTGTTGCACCTTCTAAAAGTTTATTATTTTCTTCAATTATTGCTTCAAATTCAATAGATTTTTTTTCTTCTAATTCATCTTTTATAACAGAAAATTCTTTTGAAGGTGGTAAATAACGATATGTTCCAAAAGTCCAAGGACCAACTGATTCTTGAGGAAGTTTGTTACTATCTTTATCAGTCCAATGAGAATATTTTCTTTTTTCTATACATGATTCATTACAAACATTACATATATTTTCTCTTATCTTATAATCACATTTACATTTTTTAACATGTTTAGGATCTTTGCATCTATTCTATTCTTTAATACTATATGCTAAATTTTGCTCAGAGTCTCCATTCAAGTATTTTGGAAAATTCATTGATTTATGTTTCAATGTAGATTTTGCTGATTTAACAGTTTGACGTTCCTTAAACTGAAAATATGCTTGCTCATGAAATTGACCTGTTTTTGTAGGTTCATATTGATCTGATGATAATGTCATACCTAATTCTTCAAAAGCTTTAAATTCTTCTATTGTTTTAGGTAAAACACTTTGACATTCTTGATTTGTTAACTGACAATATGAACATATTATATCATTACATTCACGTAATTTACAACATTGTTCACATCGATCATCTTTACATCTCCAATGTTCTTGATTACATCTGAAACAAGTTGATATTTTTCCAGTTTCTTTATACGTTTGTTCTCGATCTTGAATTTCTTTTTCAGTATTATTTTTCTTACATTTGAATTTTTCAACACAAGGAATACAGTAATAAATTGTTGACATAGTATGTTGGAATCTATGATTTTGATTTTTGCTCATTTTAATATTATCTATTAAATTTTATATTTTAAAAAATTTTTAACCAAAGGTGAAAATCGAATCTTTTATAGTTTTTTTTAAATAGTAAATTCAAAAAATTATAATTATTATAAATTTTATAAAATTTACGCGACGCGTTTCACATTTGATAGATTATTAATTTTAAATACGCTCATAAATTTATAATTAATTCACATATAAATTTTATATTTGTAAATAAAACATGTTTTAACTTAAAATTTTTAACGTGATTTAATTTGATAAACTATAAGATAAAATAAAATTATTAATTTTAAGTTTATTTTAATGATTACCAAGTTTATGTAATTATTTGACGTTTTACAAAAAAAAATATAAAAATTTGAGAAAATTTTTTAAAAAAAAATTTCAAAACGTCACAAAATTACTGTGTATTTTTTTTAAAAAAAATAATAATATATTTTTTTAAAAATGTCTAATACACCTCAAGAAAAGACTTCTGCTACTCTACCACCACCAGAACAAATCTCACTTGAAGCTACTTTGTCACCAACAGAACAAACTTCAACAAATTCAAATAAAAATGATGAGAAAAAAAACGTTCTATAGAACAAATTGAAGATGAAATAATCGATATTGAAATACAGTTTTAAGAGTTAAAGAAAAAAAGTATTTTTTTTTTTGTTTCATATTTTTTATTTATACTTTATTTATTAATATAAATTATAGAAAAAAAATTAGATGAAGAATACATTGTTGCAAAGTAAGAAATAAAAGCTAGACGTTTGAAAAGACAGTTGAAACGATACGAAAAATGATTTTATATTATTTATAATAACTTATTTGTATTTATAAAAATAATAAAATATGAAATAAATAATTAATGTATTAATATTTTTGTTCTAACATTTTACAAAACTCTTTAAACTTTTTTTGTTCAATAAAAATATAGTAATTTTTACTACCAAAATATTCAATTAAAATTTTTTTATCTAAATAATAATTTTTATCTATTCTATTACATAAAATTGAAATAGAAGATAATTTATATTGAATGATTCTTTGTAATTGAATTATATAATTATAAAATTTAATTTTAGGATCATTTCTATCTAATTCTATTATTTTAAAAAAATAAAAACAAGTTCTACTTAAAATATCATATTTTAATTCTAATTTTTGATATTTTCGTATCAAATTATTACTATTTTTTTTAATAAATTTCCATTCATTAGTTAAAGCTTTTGGTTTATTTATAATGATATTTTCTATTCTTGTTTTATTAAAATTGTTTAGAAATGTTATTTCTTCATAATGAATCGTAAACACATATTCACACCATTTCTTACAAACAAAAATAGCATTTTTTGATTCTTTCAAAGATAAGTTTTTAAATATAATTGTTATAATTTCAACAGGTAAATTTATAAAATTAGGTAAATTCATTTTATTAAAAATAAAAAAATAAATAATGCTTATATATAATAATTTTTTTATAAAATATAAATTTTTTATTATAGTAAATATATTTATTTATTAAAGATATTAATTTCAAAAAATAACAAAATAAAATAAAATTAATATTTTTTTGAAGTTAAATGACCAAGATTAGTTGTTCCTGTAATATCACCCATTTTTGCAGCTTTTAAATAATATTCAAATGCTTTATTTTCATCTGGTTCAATTCCAATTCCATATTCATAACAATTTCCAAGCTCATTCATTATTTCACTATCAGCATTACTAGCATTAACCTTTTTCAAATATTCCTCAAAAATTTCCTCTTCTTTTTTATTTTCTTCTTCACATTTTTTAATAAAAAGATCTAAATATTCACTTTTTAAATTATTATTTTTAGCTTTATGATAATATTCTAAAGCTTTACGATTATTTTTTTTAATGCCAGATCCATGTTGATAACAATATCCAACTCTAAATGTTCCTTCAACAAGACCTAAATTAGAAACTTTATTAAAAGTTAAAAAGGTGAAATTAAGTCTTTTTTCTCCTTCGAGGTAAGCTTCACCAAGTAAATAGAGTAATGTTGAAACATCTAATGAATTCTTTTCTTTATTAATCTGATTCTGGAAAATTTCTTCAACATCTATATCCATAGGTTCAAAAAAATTCTTTGTTAACTATTATAATGGAAACAACAAAAATGAACGAATAGATTAATTACCTGTATCAGTATCCTTTTTTATTTCTAAACCTGATAGTAAACTACTAATATTTTCCATTTTGTATTTTTTAAGTTATCTTTTGTAACGTGATAACTGTATATTTATAGAAATTTATTAAATTTATTTCTATGTTATAAACATGAATTGCAGATTTTAAATACATAGATTAATAAATGATCTTTATACTCACTAACTAAATTAACCTAAATAAAAAGATTATTTAATGAGTAAATATTTATAAACATGAATTGCAAATTTTAAATACATAGATTAATAAATGATCTTTATACTCACGAACTCGAATAAAAAAGATTATTTAATGAGTAAATATTTATAAACATAAATTGCAGATTTTAGATACATAGATTAATAAATGATCTTTATACTCACTCGCTAGAATAAAAAGATTATTTAATGAGTAAATATTTATAAAATAGTGTCACTTCCAGAAACAGCGAGTCTGTTGCTTAATCTTATGAATCTTTGTACAACATTCTACAATAACTTATCAAAAGATGGTGTAGTGATTAGACAAAAGGATTCCTAAAGCTTCAGTTATCGTTCGAACTCCGGTCACGTGGTAGGTCTTTAAGGTTATTGATTCTCTTAACTTCTCACAATCTATTCAAGTTGACCTATTCTCTCTCTTAGGATAGTCAAACACAAGATTCAGAGAGCAAGTTCTCTTTAATCAAATGACTTAATGATACTTTACTCTGTTCGAAGAGTAAATGGGTAGTATGATGTTATCACGGGACCAAGTTTATAATTTAGCAAAAGTCTTTACAAATTAAAAGACAGGTAAGTGATTTAGCAAAATATGTTTGCTCAGAATTTTTGGGATCAGGAATAGAATACTAGATAATTTATTGTTCGAATTATCTTGCAAAAGTGCTCGATTGCTCAATTGCTCAATTGCTCGATATTGAGCAGAGGGTCAAAATACCCTTTATTTATATAAAATAAACATAATACAGATTTGAATGATTTAAATAATTTAAACAATTATAATTATTATAATCATTATATAGATTATAATAATTATAATCACTATACACATTATAATTATTTTAATAATTATAATAATTACAATTATTATAATCAGTATAACGATTATAATTATTTTTTTATTTTTTTTTTTATTGTTTAAGGTGGCTTACATTGCCGATGGGATTTTATTAGTATTTGCATACGGAATTATACATTGATAATCCCTACTGTTTGTAATTAC